AGAGTGTTTCAGTTATTTAAGTTTTAATGTCACATTTCATTGCAGTTTTTAAACTAAGAAAACCTACTTACCTAATCCAAGACAAATAAACACCACATCAACACCATCAACAGCAGATTTGACCGAGTTAGAATCATAGCTCTTACATTTAGCATCATCACAACCTTGAGCAAAGATAGTACTAGAAGCTAATGATGATAAACCCTGTCTTGGTGTTGTTATAAATTGACGATCTGGTGAAGCTTGGTAATCACCGTTCATGATGTAAGCACTATCACCAAAAGGTCCAACAACCTAAAACAACGACAGACTTACAGGAGTAGTTTTTTTAAGTTATGCTGTATGGGTACGTGGATACATAAGTTATTGTTCCACATTTTCTGATTTGACTGACCTCCGATGGGGATATAGTGTTCAACAGATATCATGTAATAAAAGAAATGAGATACAACCGTGCTAGAACTAGTGTTCGGCGAATGCTTCCTATCAGTTTACACATACACTGATGCTGAAGTATAAAGCTTCATAACATTGGTGCATTGGTACATCGAGAAGCTATGAAGCGTGGGTGGTTATTACGCCACGATTTATGACTTTGGGTGCTCGTGTTTTTTGTTTAGGTCATTATGCTTTTCAAATATATAAACATAGTCCATAACAATAAACATATTAAAAAGTCTTACGGCTATTTTATTGAAAGATGTTTGTTGCAGTGGCAGGAATCCATCATTTTTCAACAAAACCATGGATTTCATTGAAGCTTCTACAGCTAGATCTCTGTGAGCTTTTTCTTCAATAACATCAGTAGTAATTGAGGCGTAGGGATTCATTTCTGGTGGATCAAATTCTCCCAACCTCATTCTAGTATAAAACAATGGTTTCACTCTCTCTCGTACCAAATCTTCTGTCAGTTTACCCTGAGAAACTGCATCGCCTAAAAATAAATATTATGAGCTGACAACAGTACAGTATTATTAACTACCTTTTAAGTTATTCAATGCTGGAAAATTTAACCAGTAAAAAACAGAAAAGCAGAAGAGAGGCGACTATCAGAAACAAAGGAGAAGAGAGCCAACCGTAAGGCTAGGGAGAAACGTCACAGCAGACTGCTCATCAGGGTTCAAGTGCAATATTTGTGAGATGACTTATTTTGTCCAGAATTGAACACATCAACCACCAACGCAAACATCTTCTACAATGAAAGGCGGCCATCATCATCATCAATATTTAGATTTGTGGGCTTCACATATATGATTTAACTTACTTATTGACATGTAAACTTCATTTTTTTCTTGTCTACCAGAAAGTTCCAGATTACATCCTGCTTTAACACATGCTGTAGCAGCATCTACTGTGTTATTGACATATTTATGTCGATAAATTACATTTTCTAAAGCTTCTTCATCACTGACAACATAACCTTTAAATCCCCATTCTTTTCTTAAAACTTCAGTTAGTAGAAACTCGTTAGCACAGGCTGGAACTCCATTGATTCTGAAATTCAGTTTCAATTGATGTCAATATGGAAACGTTTTAACATAATTTAAGTGTAACGTGCAAGTATAGACACTGTCATCCCAGCATTGAGGTATTAAATTTTTCAGTCCTCAATTCAGAAAAATATGTTACCTGTTATAACTACACATAAGACTGTATGTACCAGCTTCAACACAATATCTAAACGCTGGTAGAAACGTTGTCCTCCAATCTCTTATACTAACCTGAAAATTAATGCAATAAAGTAGAGTAAAAAGCATGCTTCTGTGATTCAGGGTCTATGGGTATATCTTGAATGTTTAAGGAGATGCTAGTGTTTATATCCTAGCATTATTTTCTTTCAACAATAAACTAGTGTATCTAAAATTCTATATTTTTCTAACCTGGGCATCAAAAGAACTTCTAGACACAGGAACATTATCTGGTCCACCGTGAACATTAAAATGTTTACAACCACCACTAGCTCTAACATATCTAGGATGATCTCCTTGTAAACCTTTAATATAAGCTTGTGATAACATACCATTAAGAACAGGATCTTCTCCATAGGTTTCCTATAATATTTGAAAATATTTGCACTGAAGTTTCAAACGGTATACATTTCAATCTACACTACACTACTCAAAACACAAGCTGCCTAACTTAGAACAGAAGCAAGAGAACCTTTAGATCAGGGGTTTTCAACCTGTCAGTAATTAACCTGGGGGTTGAAGCATTGCATAAAATTTGTGAAAAATGATTATCTAAGTCGTCCTATTCAGTCCGGCTATATTCTCCGACATGAAAAAGATTGCAAAGAAAGATCACGAAATACTAAGAATTTATAATGGAAAAGTGGGTAATATATATCAGGATCCTGAAAGAGGTAATAAAAAAAGGATTGAAAACCCCTGCTGTGATAATTGTAATGCATGCAAATCTCCATCTGATATAGATTCTTAACTTGACCAACTTGTATGTTCGACATGGAAATTGGATTTTTGATGATCCTTTTAAAGATGAAAGTAATATGAACTTTACATGACCTGTATACACTATACACTTATTATGAATGAAATACCCTATGTAAATGTTGTATGAAATGCCATTTTTGTTACCTGATTGCGACCCCATCTAGGATCTCTCATAATATTTATAACTGGTGCAAAACAGCTCAGTCCAGTATGACCCTTATACGATCCGTTCTGTACATTAGCATGATTAGTAGCTCGAACTTCTACTGCTGTAGCTTCAGCCATTCTAAATATCAGATCTGTACTGAAATGACAAATGCTTGCTAGAACATTGCACCGTATGATCAAAAGCCTCAAAGAGAAGTTTAAACTAGCTATAACACAACAGTAAACCATATACAAAAAAAACAGCGTTCTGATGTAGTTTAGACACTTTTCTAAGATATTTCCATCAGATGAAAACATATACACGAATAGCTGTTTGTTTGGTTACCTTTTTTTTCAGAAATTAAGATGATGGAATTTGACATACTAATAAAATTTCACGTGATCATTCTCTTAGGAAATTCACCAGTTGACATGAATACACCATAGGAATGTTGATGACATTAAATACCTGAAGGTTGCAGCTAGTCCAATAGATTGAGGATACGCTGTGGCATTGTGTCCAACATCACCATGAAGACATTCAGTATCCCATTGATATGGTTTGATTCCAAGTCTGTCAATTGCAGGAGCCGGTCCATTTATTCCGGCACCACCTTTAGCCATCTGTAGTTGGATTTCATCAAGTGTCAATCGTCCTACCAGATCATCCACTCTTTCATCCCATGATAATGATGTATTACGGAAAGGGAAATCCTGTAGAGACGAATTTACTAGAAATAGCAAACAGAGGGTTAATACTATGGTACCCATTACTGTACCGTATATGGCTTAATAGGTTGTATGAAATCCTTATCATTAAACGCCAATGGGAATGTAGACACATGATACTTAGTAAATCAGTACAAGAAAGTTTTTATGAAATAATGTGAAGCTAAAAAAAATTCCTATGGTTTGATAGGCAAAATGTTCAGCAACCTAATTTGCAAGGGGTAACATGGTAATTTATCGTAGAATACACGTGTCTATCAATTCGGATACAGTTTCCATCGAATATTCAAGAAGCATTGACAATGTAATCTACCAATTTACTGATAACAGATGCCCCACTAAAATATTCCTTTTTAGGTTTTGCCAGGAACCAAGGGATAGTCCAATAGGTTGGTACATATTTTCTCTTTCTCAAGGAATCAAATTTGATAAAAAGGTAAGGAATAAACTATCATATATTGATTTACATCGAATGTAATACAGCCTCAAATGATTTCTTGTGTACATATATTCAAGTAAATAATTATTGAAATGCAGATAATATGGTCATGGCAAAGCTTTCTAGTTTCTAGCGAGACAAATGACTAAACTACATGCTTATCATCACATGTTTTTTGTATTTCCTTTACTTATATAAAGTTTAGAATAGAATTATAGAAATCATGTTTCTTAAAGCATACAACCTATAATTTAAACAATATTAAATAGATAAGTAAACTACATAAAAATTATAAATTGATATCTATGAACTTTTGGTACTAACCATATTTGACTGTATTGGTAACTGTGGATATAGTAGAAAACCAATCCATTGAAAGTTTACCAGTATCTGAAAGAAAGAGTTTACCAACCAATAGAGTCCCTTACACACTTGATTATAGTTAAA